AATGGATGGATGTCTGTCTTCGGTTAGTTACTACTTCACACTTATTGTAACTGTCCCTGAGACAGTTACAATAAAGTTGTTTATTTCATATGTTTCCGTGATAGATTCATGCTTAATTTAGTTCATTTATTTGTTGGAAAGATTACAAAATGTATTGGATAAGATAATAAACTTGCAGCATTGATTGAACTTGTCTAAAATATGTGGTTACAAAATAAGAGTTGGTTAAAGATGTAAAGTTTGTTTGAGGTAGAGTTTGTAATGGTCACATGACCAGAGTTTGGCTGAGAGCACAACCCTGGCATTGTGGGTCAGAACTAGCATGGAGCTACAGAGCTACAGATGCTGCTACAGCCACAACATTAGTGTTATTCTGCATGTGGTCCAAGAGGCACACAAGGTATGGTTTTCATGTATATTGTTTATAAAATGCTGCATACATGTACAGGACATTTTCAGTAATATCCATTATTTTACATTTTTTCTGTTCTGCTGGCTCAAGACTGTTTATGGACACTAACATGAGAGACTTTGATAAGATGAAAGACATTTATGTTGTAAACTTTGTGTTTTCTTCCGTTTTCACAGTGTTTGAAGAAAATAACACAGAGAGAGAGAGAGAGAGAATTTTCCCCCCCCGAAGACATCAGTATGATGCGTGGCCATTCTTTGTTGGACCCCTGTAGTTACACTTATTCAGAGTTTTAATTAACATTCCAAAATGGGAGGCACTTGCTTTGATGTGTACATGTAATCGTGAAGCTCTAAAAACAAGATAATGTGACAATATTTTGTATTTTATGTACCTTATGTTTGCTAATGTGTAATTAGCAGCATGCTTATAGTTGTTGTTGAGGTTTATAACAATAAAAATAATTAAAAACTGATAACTTATGGCAAAGTGGTGGGATTAAATAGGCATGCACTTCTTCCACTCTTTATCGATATGTAAACTGAATCTGTTGGTGTCCGATTTGGGTTCTTTCTGTCTGCTTTCATAACAGCTGGGGTTATTTAATCATGCGTGATATCACTTACGTGTGCTACGGTTTATGCAGCAAAAACATGTTTGCAGATGTGTAACGATGTGCAGCCATCAGCATGTTTTTATCTGGAGTTCGGTGAATGTCTATCAACAAACATTTCTTTGAATTCAGTGATGAATCACGCGAAGCAGTTTCCTGCTTCACCTCTAGCATCACGTAGTCTCCCTTATCAATCTACTGCCATACAAATTCTCTTGATATCTGTTTGCATCATTTACACACACTTACACACTCCCCACTCACATTAAAATAAAGTGTGTAACTGTGCATGTGCTGGAATATACATATGCTGCACACAGAACACTACAGAGGTACATTTATGTTTGTTTCATTTATATTATTTAAGTGTATAATTTTTATATTGGGTGGAGAAATAAATACGTTTTATTATTTTGAGCTATTTAAATTAATTTCTAATGCATCTGCAAAGTGACCTTTGGTTGGTGAAGTAAATATTGTTGTATTTGTATTGTAGGTGTACACTAATATAGTTATACATGAATATTATCTGAGTATATATCATATGGAAGAATTATTTAAATGTATATGTTCAAAATAAACGAGGAAGGCACATGTTTAATGCTGGGGTATATTTTTATTTTCATTTTTGGTTATGCTAACAGAGAATCAGAAATCCTGAGATTTCAATAATATACAAGCCAAACTGTCAGTGAATTCTTTACTCCTCATATTTTCTGGATTTCACAATCCCGTCAATCCACTGACGGTATTTTGAGATGTCTGTATAGACGTTGGGTTTATTGGGGTAACTGCAGTTCTCGTTGTAGTTGAAAGAAACTGCACCAACAGCAAACCCGTCGCACAGCAGAGGACCACCAGAATCCCCCTGTGAGGAGGAAGAATTTTAATTTACCAGCTTTTATTCAGTTTTTTATATATTTGTAATCAAGGAGCCAGTTTGCACTGAAAGGACAGAAAACATACCTGACAGAATCCTTTGGTTGTTTTGTATCCACCTGCACAGATAACATTGGCAGGAAGACCACGCCATTGTTCCTCACAGACCCTTGGGTTAATGACAGACACGTCCACCACC